TGCTTCCACTTGGTGGCCGCAATGTGATGACGTTGACCTTTGCCCCCGGAGGCTGAGTGTTAGACTCAGGTGGCTTCTGTGGCTTAACGTCAGGAGACTGCTTCACAGGTCGGGAGTCCTGCTGCTGTCGTGGGGTGGGCGGGTATGGGCAGTCTGCAACCCGATGCCCAAGCTGGCGGCATCGATAACAGACAGTTTCGAAAGTCCCAGGTCGCCTTGTGGGCATTGCTGCAGAACTGCTTTTCGGGGGTGGAGCTTTCCCCGCATTCGTAGGGGCAACATCAGACCTGGCGTGTCCGCCTGTCTTGTCATCCACCATCTTGGAGGGTGGATAGGGTCCTCTCTTGAAGACATGGGGATGTGCCTCTTCCATTCTCCGGTTGAGCACATATTCATCGGCTTGGCGCGCAACGGCTTGAACAGTGGACAACTTCTTTTCACGAAGTTTTGTCCGCAAGTGTTCACTCTGCAGTGAAGTTAGGAATTGATCAATAAGTAACAACTCCATCATTCTCTTTACGTCTTGTGACGCATCAGATCCATCTGATGGCTTGAGCCATCGTCTGAAGTACAGGGTAAGTCGGGTTGCAAATTCTTCGAATGTTTCATCCGACTTCTTCGATGCGGTCTTGAATTTCAACCGGTATGCTTCCGGTGTAAGCTGATAGTGGCGCAAAATAATGGCCACTATTTTGGAGTAATCCTTTTTATCTTCTTCGGTCAAGGCATGGAAAGCCTTCTGGGGGGTTCAGCTGACATAGCTGGGCTATGTACTCGCCGGTAAAACGGCGCAAATAAACGGCTCTATCCATGCTATCTAACATCTTGACATGTGACAAATGCAATATAATATCTCAAGATTTCGAGCCCCAAACTATCACACTTATCAGTTATTTATATCGGCGTGAATCATCGAAAAATTACAATCATGAATCAGTGTCCGTTTATTTATTTTCTCATGTCGGTATCGACCATGTGAGTATGTACCCACGCCACCGTGAACACGCCGTTCCGACCTTCGAAGACCGTCGATAGGCCAAATCTAAATCCGCCGAAATCACTCGTCCAGCGAAGCCATCCTGCCGACTACGCCAGGTGTAACGGTCGATTACACACTTAAGGTTCGGACGACCTCACCAGATTGGGATTTCCATTTAACATCAACAATCAGGAATGATTTATTTCGGAATCACATGAGCCTTACGAGAGAATTACGATACATTGATTGCCAGCCATCTTTGATTGTATCCCAGCATCCTTTGCTGTGTTTACATGTACATGCGTTAGTCTCCAGTCAAGTGGGGTCAGCCTAGTCTTCGTCCTGTAGTCTTTGTCTACAGTCATGTCCATCCCGTTACAATGCACATGTATGCGGATTTGTTATTGCCTGTGCATTTATGCATGCTAGCCCCCTCAAAATGATGTATGGATAGTACATGTATGCTATGTCTATTTCAGAAATCAGTGCTTAGCAAGTGTAGATGGACGAGTTACTACCAGAGCTTCTTGTGCATGTATTTGTAACAAACCTCTTAATCTTTTGAAGTTGCTCCCATGCTAGCTCGCAGTCTCTCATCATAGCAATTGAAGTGTCAAGGTCGGTGATTCCGCTCTGAGATGGGTTGGTTGCTGGTGTACTTTGAGGAACTTTATGTGATCTGTTTGGAATTTTTTGCACATAGGTTGGCTGTATAAAGTTAAAGAATTGTTTAAAAAAATAACATTTACAGAAGACTAGCATTTATTGTAGTGTAAGAGAAAGTATTATATGGCATTACTGATGATAAACCAATGTCGTTTTAGTTTGTTTCTTGGGCTTGCACATGTATGTAGTGTACTTAATCATTCCAAATACCTGTGTAATATTGTACTATTTTTTAACGTGCAATACTTAACATGTTAACGTAAGATGTAGAAGAAAAAAGATTGTCCTGCCCATTCTGTTATTTTTTGTTAAGTCTTGAATTAAATTGTTTTATTTTGATCTTTATTTCTGATAACATGAAAGCTGTGCGGTAATCCTTTTTCAGTGTTTACTTTGTAAANACGCACACACCCCAAGTCGGACGCCGCTGCCAACTTCAACGCGAATCTAGCACCCCTGTGGCGTGGACCATTCACAGTGATGGAACATTTGACTCCAGTGAACCTGAAACTCGCAGATTTGTCTAATCCATCTAAGGATCTCATTGTCCATGTGGACCAAGTGAAACTGTGTTGAACTTTAGTTCCTGAACTTTAGTTCCCTGCTTTCACAAACTGACACTCATGATTACCAGAAACTGGAATGCACATTTTTTTTGTCTTATTATTTCCTTTTGTTTTCCATGTTATTAGGCACGACAACCAACATGCTTGGAGTGAAAAAGCACTTGTGGCCAATAATTTTTTGTTTATTGCAAAAAAAAAACAAACAACACAGGAAGATGTTATCTGACCCTTTAATTATAAACAAGAATATTTTCTTTTCAACAGGCAGAGGCCTCCCTTTTTAGTTCACAAGCCAGAGTGAAATAACTATATGCAGTTGTGTTTATTTTTTAGGAAGTACTGAGGAAACATTTTCATGTCGAAGAAGCTGTGATTACTTTAACCTGATAACATGATTTCAATTGTGCCATCTTTTGTTGGAGCCGTTGTTTGAGCCATTATGTACCGCTGACAAGCCATTTGTGTTCACTAAGGGAAAGCCTTTGTCAAGAAAACATTTTACATTTATATAATCACTTTTTTCCTTACCCCATTGTCTTTTCTAGCAGGGGGCCGGGGAGTGTAACGGGATTACACCAACTGTACGTTCCTTTATGTATTGTACCAGTGACGTATGTTTCTAATAATGCATGCCGGGATATAATCAAGATGGCCGATAATGTGTTACAACTAATTACATGATTCTCAGACGAATAAACCTTTGTTAATCGGTTTCCTTTAATCAGAATCAGCCCGAAATATCGATGATCGAACCATAATTGTTGTGACTCCAGATAAAGAAGTAACAAACATCTTGTTGGGGCTTAGCCTCACTGGCTGGCTCAGGTTCTCTCATGTTAGGGAGACCACAAAGGCACTCAATCCTCTCTTGCTTTGTTTTAATTTCATGGGTGTCTATATGGTTCAGCTGACATAGCTGGGCTATGTACTCGCCGGTAAAACGGCGCAAATAAACGGCTCTATCCATGCTACCTGCCATCTTGACATGTGACAAATGCAATATAATATCTCAAGATTTCGAGCCCCAAACTATCACACTTATCAGTTATTTATATCGGCGTGAATCAACGAAAAATTACAATTATGAATCAGTGTCCGTTTATTTATTTTCTCATGTCGGTATCGACCATGTGGGTATGTACTCACGCCACGTGCACCGTGAACACGCCGTTCGACCTTCGAAGACCGTCGATAGGCCAAATCTAAATCCGCCGAAATCACTCGTCCAGCGAAGCCATCCTGCCGACTACGCCAGGTGTAACGGTCGATTACACACTTAAGGTTCGGACGACCTCACCAGATTGGGATTTCCATTTAACATAAACAATCAGGAATGATTTATTTCGGAATCACATGAGCATTGCGAAAGAGTTACGATACATCGATTGCCAGCCATCTTTGATTGTATCCCAGCATCCTTTGCTGTATTTACATAGTACATGTACATGCGTTAGTCTCCAGTCAAGTCGTGTCAGCCTAGTCTTCGTCCTGTAGTCTTTGTCTACAGTCATGTCCATCCCGTTACACGCCATGTTTCTTTTTCATTTGTCTGTTTATGTTACCAAATCCCCTTCCTCATCTCTAGGCCACCCCAAACAATATTGTCGTCCAGTTTTTTTTAAATCGTTGGGACCCAAAACTGTCAAAAAAGTGGCCAATGACCCGATACTATGGAATTTTTGACAAATTGATTTCCGAGTAAACATCATGGTAGGACTAGAAGTGTTTTAATTTGTTCCTCTGCTGATCACTTTCTGATGGCTGGTAGATTATCATGGCCACTAGGGGGAAAATTAATGATGATCGTACAGTGAACTCTTAATCCTAGAAATATCAAGCAAAAGTTGTGTAAGGTCTCAGACAGATGACCGTGACACTAGTCATACATACATGTACCACTAGACTGCGCGCACTTGTTTTCCTTTCTTCACAAGTAAGAAATGCACATAGCACAACTAGGCCTACAATCGTTTGGTGATTCCATGGAAGAATAACAACACTTGTATAACGTTATAATTCCTCACACTGTCACACCCTTACCTTAAGCATGGAGAAATGCCTTAAGTTGAGGCTTCTTATCACAGCACAATTTTAATATAACTGTAGCGATGGCGTCGACTGGAAACAATCCGGGAATTTCCCACATTACGCGTATACGTCTATGCGTCATTGCTTTACGGTACGGTCAGAGCCATAGCCTCCGGCCGGCCCGATGCGACATCCGACAATGCTAAGAGGGGTTATACTTGATTGCACGCAGTTCAGTGTTCAAGAGCAAAAACATGTGATACTCAAGTTAAAAGTCAGACAAGGGGGTAAAATCAGCCGAAGCCGGAAACAAAACGAGGCCGAGTACTGGAAAATGTAACTCACACCACGGGAGATACTAAAATGAAGTTCCACACCGTTGTTTTCCTTTGGTTTGAAGTTCAACTGTAGAGGGATTTCACATTAGCTGCCGTCTGCGCTTATCTATCTGCATCAAAAGACCGAAGTCCTTAGTGTTGAACGTTGGACTTCTTCGCGCGCGCCCGCGGAGTCCTCACAGTACATGGAGTATCCAATTCGTAAGCAGTGTTACGCCACTTCAGTTTAAACCACGCCCACTGCATAAGATACACGACCATCGCTGGTACGTCAGTTCGCAGTCAATTGTCGTTATTTTTTCTTTTGATTTTACGTGTCGAGTCATCCTGAAAGACTCTTCCACAGAAATGTGCAGCGTGAAAAGTCTGAATTTAACATACCTTTATGTATTTTGTGTCTTGACTCCTTACTTTCAATCGTCTGGTCGTATTAAGAATTGAAGCCGACACATACAGCCTCGTTTTCAAACGCGGAAGCGCGCAGATCGACACTAAAAGCGTCGTATTGGGATCCATATATTAAATGTCCAGTTTTGCCTTGAACTTCCAATCTTCAATGTTATTCACATTTGGGTTGAAATGCCAGATTTCACTAAATATTGACTTACATTTGTATTTCACAGTTTAAATATACGTCCCGTCCCTCATACAGGCTTACAATGTAGCTCTTTTGAACGATTTTTTTTTTATTCAGAAAACTTAAACTTACTTAAAGATACATGAATACGTCGAGCTTAAAATATTTGGGTAAGTAAAACGCACATTTTACGCTGGTTTCCTTCAAAAGTACAGTTTCTTTTCTTTTATAAAATGCATAAAAGATGGAAGGCAAAGTACAAATATATCATGCTTTAATTGTGACCCCACAAGCTTCCTTTTAAATAGCCTTTTAAAAATTCTCCTGTGACAAACTGTGAAAAGTCAACTAATCCAAATGAACACGAAAATGAACATAAACAGTCCCATCAAAATATTCTTAACCAAATGATGTTGACAAAAGTCCTTCCATTAATTTTTCAAGCTGGTGATTGGGAATATTTGGGAATCATTTGAAACCAAACATAGAAACGGAATGCACCACATAGCAAACTGTATTAAAAGTAACAGAAACCCTGAGACAATACGGGTAATTCACAATAGTGCGCCACCAAGACTTTGCAATGCGTTGGCCAAGCATAACGCGCAAAATTTGTCGACCCTTTCCAAACACACTCTGGGTCGACAAATTTCGCGCACTGTAATTGGCCAATGCTTTGCAAACTCTTGGTGGCGCACTATTGTGAAACGGCCGCATTCACCCACATTCAAGAATGTGTGAACAGTGTCACTGCTGGTTTCTGTTCTTGTCCATAGTGTTGTTTTTTGTTGTATTATTAGTAAAATCACTGTATTCCATATATTACAAGGGGTGCCATACTTTAAAAGCCTAGCTTTTTCGTGAGATCCCTCCACTTTCGGTAGTCGCCCTAAATTGTTACCTACCTGTATTTGAACCACTTTTTCTTAAGTGGAAATAAAGTAAGGAAAGTGAGTAATACACCATAGAATGATGGAGGACTTGAAAAAGAAAAACCCAGGATTTCAGACATGTTCAGTAACTAGCAAGTGTGTGCTTTATTCGAAAGCTTGTTTTATCCTCTTCCATTACCAGCATGGTGACAGAGCCATGCATGACTGATCAGAGACAATCTAATTTGGTGGGGTAAAATATTAGCTTTATTTAAGCGAATTCTATTAAAAATATGAACTTTAGGACAGGTGGCCAGAGTCCGCCCCTTTATATTTTCCAATATTCATGCAGTACGTGTATTTCTCGTACATTGTGCTTTCAGTAGTTTTTTCAGTGATGTCTTTCAGTCATTTTGAATTTGAAAATTGCCCTTCTCCCTCAGTGCCGCCCTTTTTTTTAGGTCAGCCAAAATTATGCATTGAGGCCTACTTGTTCCACTTCTTGCTCATCAATCATGTCAATGCATGTATTGGACCAAAAGTCGGCAAGGGACAGCCGAGTTCTAAGGGTGGGGAATATTTTTTTGTAGGGGGGACCCCTCTCTTTAAGGATTCAGATGAGCAACTTTTTTTTAGCTCCTTTCTTGTGTTGAAGACAATAACTAAAAGTGTTTACAGAAAAGTGACCACAAAATAATAAACAGGGGTACAATAGCTAAATCTACATCGTTGGTATCAGACATGCGCTTCAGAGCTTTAGGACAATTTAAACCACTCCTCAGTGAACCACAAAACTGTCAATTTGTTCCCTAGCTGTTTTTAAAATAAGCACAAAGTTTATTGTCAAGAATGTGTACTGTCAAGAGTACAATGAATACCTAGCTCAAGAAACCATCAAAGAAGCACTTTTATGTAGACAACACATTCCAGATGCTTCTGCATTCAACTGCTACTTAATTTGTTGAAAGCTGTTTACAAAAAAAAATCAACGGCTGATTTGAAATTTATACAGAGGTACTATTGAAGTAATCAAACAAGGACTGATCTTGGGCATGATTAATTGATGTGATTAATCAATCTTTGTACTGCAAGATTTGTTGATAATTTTGCAATCAACCAACTGCATGTTGCTTCAAACAATGGGGAATCTGCCAATTGCACAGAGCGATTGAATGATTGTGCCAAACATGACATTAATTCCGGAAGTTGTGGCAACAGAAAGGGATGTACCTAGAGCTTTGCACATGTACATGTACAATGACAGTCTTTAAAGCTACATACACTCTAGTGGAAGACACGCTTAGATTCTGTTAACCATGCATCTATCTACACCACAGCATCACACAAAATCTTAAACAGAAAATATCAACTTCAAATAATGTACAGACAGCAAAGCTAACCTACTGTGGTATTACGGGTACTGCTCAATTTCCCAAGGCAACGCTAAGGAAAACAGAATACTAGACAGATCAAGGGATAAGCATGCACACATGTATGAGTATACCATGTACATGTAGAAATAAAATTTACAGTGGTTGCTATGTGTAATTCATAAATGTACCTGTCAGTTTACAGTGCTGCCATGAATTGATCTTTTTAAGACTGCACTGTCAGTATTAAAAATAGACTTATTTGTACGAGGGCAGTTTTGAACAATAAAATCTGATGAAAGGCAACTTGGAGGTACAAGTAAAATACAAGTAAAATCTACACAATTCATTTCAGAGGAATGATTTTCAAAGGGGTAAGAAGTTGTGAGATTATTAGGCATTAGTCATTAATTAATAGGCCAATCTATTAAACCCTGTGTCAATGTAGGACCTGCCAAGAGTGGGACTATACCTTGAAGTGGAGCCCATATTAAGAGGTTGGGCTAGGTGCCTGTGCATTATATCAAGCCTCAGCCTAGTTGTAGGGACTCGAGCAGATAAACTCCCAGTGCACTGTACTGTTGTGGCAGTGGGGACGAGCAAACATCCAAAATGGTGTGGGGTAAATTTTATTTTTTTTCTTCTGAAAAAATTACTTTTTAAAGCAGTTCTGATTAAATATGAAATGTTAGCATGTATGAACTACGAAGTAGGTGGGCCAAAGGCACCTTTCCTCCCCCTCTGATGCCAGTAGTCATAATTAAGAAACAATTAAGAAACTACTTGACCAGCTCTCCGCCAATTCTTAGCATCTATAGGGGAGTCATATCATAAAAACTAAACTTGACAATGTGTACATAATTGGCGATTCATATCACTAATCTCAACAAAACTTAAAGTATAGCCACACCTACCCTTAATACCGTAAAAAAATTTGTTGACAACTGTAAGGCTTATTTAAATTAATCTAAACTTACAAAATGAGAAATTATTTCTTCAAACTACCAGTGCAAGTTAAGAGGTGAAAGCTGTCAACACAATTTTGAGGAGATAAATCTCAGCAGAAGTTCACATCGAAGTCCTGAATTGTAGCATTCTCCAATATCATTATTACTGATAAATCAAGGATCTATCACAGCTGTGCCTATGAAGTCACCGAAGCTGAAAAGGTTATTTGGTTGTCAAATACATGTAAAAAGTGTGTGTTTAGTTGGGATTCATTCATACAGGACAGAAACCCTTGAATTTGAGGTAACCTGGACTGAAACCAAGTCCAACAAAAACTGAAGTGATAATCTGCACTACACTAAATTAAAATGAACAGTACATTTATTTCAATGTTGTTAATGAAAAGAAAATAAGCAGTGTTTACAAAGAATTAAAATACATTGTCACAAAATGGAAGATAGCTCTTGTTAGATGCCATCTTCGTGAGAAGATTGCAACTGCGTATACAACTCCAACAGGTGAGTTTGCGTGCCATGTGCAAAATGTTCTAAAACTGCATGTATGCTGATCCAAATATCTTCAACTACAGTACAGCTGATACGTGTCACGAAAATTAAAGTAAAACACCGATGCACACGGCAATCTGTAAGAGTGATGTCGTTTGAGAGACTCCTATTAATTACACAATAATTCTAGTTACAGCCATACAAGTTGTTGTCTACATCCATTTTGTAGCCATGAAGTTCCAAGCCAGGAATTCCTCCTCACCATCAAGCCCTGTGCCATCTCTTTCAGTTCTGATCTGGATCTTGTAGATCATATCAATTCAAAACTCCTGTTCTGGGACAAAAGAGCATAGCACATAACATCAAATATTATGGGCCTTTCCTGTCACAAAGCAAACCAGAAGATAACTCCAATTTTCAGTGCCAATTTACACAATGTAGCACTGTCTTCTGAATCCCCCTCAAATCCATTGATGGATTTAATGCATAAATGGAGGGGGGTGCTTTTCAACCTTAAATTGATTACAAACTGTCACTGATTTCACAGAGACCCTGATTAAGGGGCCATTTCAATTTTAGAAACTTCTTAAGTGAACTAAATCCCCATGCAACATAAATGTTGTTTACTCCAGTCAGAAAGCATTAACAATCAGTTTTGTTTATAAGTATCCTCTTGCATTTGATCTGAATTTGGTCCCCTGTACCATTCAACCTGTAGGGCCCTCAATCATACACACTTTTTCCACTCACTTTTTTTTTTATTGCCAACACACTCTGAGTACTTTCCGAGCCCAAATTAGCCCGAAATTTAGGTTTTATTCCCCATCATAAAATTATCATAAGGCCAATACTTATTGCTCAGTCATAAGTCAGACGCCAACTACTTTTGTTAAACTTTATCTAAGTGATTGCTGATCGAGGTTGTGTAGGCCCATATCCATGTATATTATGTGTACATGATCCCCTTCACACATGTTAATTAGGACACATTTATGTGTATGGATGCACAGTATTGCAGCGTGTCCTACAGGTTAGGGCCCGACGCTAG